CCCAGCGCCTTCCATCAACGGCCACCTCGCGTGGAGCTTGGCTCCTCTGGTGCTCTCAGCTTCCTCGACTTGTCCGACGACGCCCTGGCCGCTGATGGCGTCGACCCCTCGTCGGTTGCCCCCTCGATCAGCGGAGTGGACCTGAAGGATGCAGTTCGTGCGCCAGGACCTGGCATCCTCTTTCGGCTTCGACTTCCCTGGGGAGGCGAGCTGGTGCGGCTGCGCCCGCGTTTACGACGAGACCTCGCAGTCCTTCGAGCCGGTGAGCGGCGACTCGCGCGTGTATCCAGCGTTGGTCCTGGAGCTTGTACTTCTGTCAGCAAGTGCTCAGCAGCGCCTTGGACGACGCGGTCGGACCTGATGTTGGTCCACGCCTGCTTCGTGAGATGACGCCTGCAGCCGACGCTGACCCTTGGCCACCCGCTCGTTGCCCCATACGTCGAGAACGGCGCCCTGATCGGCCTGGCACCTGCAGCTGCTGGCACTGGGCGGGCCGCGGCGCTGGATGCTCTTCGGGATCGCCACCTCGCCATGAAGTGGTCGAGCCTACCGACGTCGCTGACGCTGTCGGGATTGTTGGTCACTTCAGTGACGGGCAGCGCGTCATCCGCCATCGCTCTCAGCGGGACTGGCGCCTCTACCTGGCGCTGGAGTATCTCATCAGGCGCGGGGTGGCTTCTGGCCGCGCAATGCGGCGCGTCGCCGGGCACGTGGTGAACCACTTCATGCTGGCCCGTTGCGCCCTCGCTGCGCTGGATCACGTCTACGGCTTCATCGTGGATTTTGGGCCGAGGACTGGCCGATTCCCACCTGCCCTGACGACCGAGCTTCGCGCCATCAAGGGGCTCGTCTTCCTATATCAGGCTGGCCTCGGCGCACCGTGGAGCCGGGCGGCCTTCGCGTCGGACTCGTCCATGCTGGGCTACGCGCTGCACCTCGCGGCCGTCAAGCCCGGCGAGGTCGTCCGCGCTGCCCGCTACAGGGGGCGCTGGAGGTTCAGCGAGGTCGACATCAGCCACGGTCATCGGGATGACACCGAGGTCCCCATGACCTCCGCCGAGTGGCCCCCAGCGGCGCGTCGTCTCGCCGACGACCCGGACGAGGCCCCGCCACTCGAGCACGACAGGAGCGTCGCGCCCTGGAGGCCGTCGGCTGCCCGGGTCTGCCTGGGCCGCGGGCCCGGCGTCGCCCCCCCGCTGGAGGATGAGGTCCTTGCCGCCGACAGGTGGCGCAGGGTCGTCTGCGGCGCTTGGCAGTCCGACGCCGCCATCCATGAGAAGGAGTCTGGCGTCCAGCTTCTCGGGCCGCGCCTCGCCGGCCGTGGCCCTGCCTTCTATGGCAGGAAGGTTCTGTCGATGGGGGGCAACATGGGGGCCGTGCTCAGCTTTGAGAAGGGTCGTGCCAAGTCGTGGGCCCTGAGGCGGAACTGCCGCGTCGCAGCCTCGTGCCAGCTCGCGTGCGAGATCTCCTGGCGGCAGCGCTATGCAGAGTCTGCCCGCAACCCCGCAGGCGCGGACAGCCGCCTGGCCGACGCCAGCTTGCTTCGGCCGGGCGCTGTTCGACGCGGGCATGCCCGCGACATCGAGAAGATCTTGGAGGGCAACCGGGCGTCGGCCGCTCCCCCTTCAGCCTCTTCAGCAGCGACGTTCGCCTGCGCCCCCGAGGCAGCGGAGCTCGGGCGCCCGCGGAACGCCGGCGCAGCTTGGCGCCGCCCCAGGGGCGAATATCCAGCCTGACCCGCCAGCAGTGCTATTTGAGGCTGGCGCGCGTTGGGCGCGCAGCCCGCGGCCGGCCGCCGCGAGACATGAGCCGCTATGCCCCTCCTGTCTCCCAATCATGTGAAGGCCTCCCCAGTCCATGTCCCAACCGTGCTCCTCCTCGGCCTCGCCCAGCATCGCAGCGGGCCATGCTAGGGGTGTTCGCTGGCTGCGGCCGGCTGTCCGCGGCCAGCCTCAGCGCAGGGTTGCATATCGCCGTCCCGGTTGACAAAGACCGAGGGCCTCACGTGGACGTCTTGGATGTCCGTGTCTTCTCCGTGTTGCAAACATGGATTGCCAGCAGGAAGATTCGGCACGTTCATTTCGGTACTCCTTGTATATTCTGGAGTCAGGCTACTGGCACTTCTCGGGGGAAGCACTCACGAACCGGTCAGCTGTGCGCTACCCGTGCGCTTTTTGTTGTCGCTGTAATGTACGTTGGTCGCTCGAGACCCCGCCTGCTCTCGGATCTGGAAGTGGGGGCCTCTACAACAGTTTCTCTCTCAACAGCATCATGTTGCCGTTCGCTACGATTGCTGTGCGTATGGATGTACTTACGTCAAACCACCTAATATCGCTGCCGGCATCGACGATTTGTTGCTGCTGTCACGTCGCTGCGAGGGTGGCCATCACTATGAACATCTTCAAGGTGAAGTCGTCATCCAGTCGTGCTCAGCGTCATCATCGAGCATCGCATCGCATGCCCCGGGGACCGCAGTATGGCAGACCACATCGGCTGGGAAGTATTCTCCGTCACTCTGCCGCGACTGGGCTCTGATCCTTGCCTCGGTGGCTCCTCGCGGGGC